TAACATAATGTGTATAAAATGGTTTATGTATGGTAAAACAATGTGTGTAATACGGTTAACGTAATGTGTATAAATGGTCTATGTATGGTAAAACAATGTGTGTAATATGGTTAACGTAATGTGTATAAATGGTTTATGTATGGTAAAACAATGTGTGTAATACGGTTAACATAATGTGTATACAATGGTTTATGAATGGTAAAACAATGTGTGTAATACGGTTAACGTAATGTGTATGAATGGTTTATGTATGGTAAAACAATGTGTGTGATACGGTTAACGTAATGTGTATAAATGGTTTATGTATGGTAAAACAATGTGTGTAATATGGTTAACGTAATGTGTATAAATGGTTTATGTATGGTAAAACAATGTGTATAATACGGTTAACGTAATGTGTATAAATGGTTTATGTATGATAAAACAATGTGTGTAATATGGTTAACGTAATGTGTATAAATGGTTTATGTATGGTAAAACAATGTGTGTAATATTGTTAACGTAATGTGTAGAATGGTTTATGTGTGGTAAAACAATGTGTGTAATATGGTTAACGTAATGTGTAGAATGGTTTATGTGTGGTAAAACAATGTGTGTAATATGATTAACGTAATGTGTAGAATGGTTTATGTGTGGTAAAACAATGTGTGTAATACGGTTAACGTAATGTGTATAAATGGTTTATGTGTGGTAAAACAATGTGTGTAATACGGTTAACGTAATGTGTATAAATGGTTTATGTATGGTAAAACAATGTGTTTAGTGTGGTTAACGTAACGTATGTAGAATAATCTATGGTAAAATGTGTGTAGTGTGTGGTTAACGTAACGTGTGTAGAATAATCTATGGTAAAATGTGTGTAGTGTGTGGTTATCGTAACGTGTGTAGAATGGTAAAAACTAGTTTTAAATGCGTCTCGGTCAAGTAGAATAATTCACGTTATTTCAGATTTCAATCATACACTATCAATGTCACTATAAATGAGGTCACTAAGATAAAATGCTAAGTAAACTAACTTGGTGAATGTTATGCGATATTTGTTCTGTCTCCGCAGAATGCCACGCCTTATGTTTAATTGCACTCTAGCATTGAACGTCATGTAACAATGTAATTACATGCAAATGAACATAAAGTGAAATACACAACATATTGAATAATGGTAATCGAGTTTCTAACGTACGTTGGCCATATTTGTGTCACCAAAATATTGTCACTTTTAACATTTTTTTTCTCAGTGAATTAGTAAAAGTAGTTGTTCTGTTTTCCTCTTTATGCTAAAGATCAATGTAATGTGTGGTAGATGTGAGTGTGCATTGTAGATGTCTGTTCGATGTGATAAAATAAATAACACATGGTTATTCGGGCAATATCACGACTTGTTGTCTGCCCAAGGGATGATGGTCATGACTATAATATTGATGATGCCAGAGCCGATCGCGAAGGCATGTGTTATTATTTAAATATTTTAGTTATAGTAGATGCATGCTCAAACACGCTATTTCAATCTTCAATTATTTAGAACAGTGTAGTACAGTGGTGGACGTGATTTTGAATCTCCCTTGTTGTTGATTGTATGTTCGTAATGTGCCTGTAATTAATATTCCGTATTTCATGGTCATTTTCCGCATTCTGTCATTTTTTAGCTAAACCCATGAGGTGCATTATGGTATAGCTGGTTTTCTATATATCACGAAAATGTTGGATTCGCAATACCCGAGAAGACTAATTTCTACGAGTCTACTAGTTATATATAATTGTCTTCATTATGTATTCTTGTAGGGATCTGAGTAATGGGTAGAAATAAATCAACAGTATGCTACGTTTTAGTTGCCACAGCAATAATGGTTAGCGTATGGATATACAAAGGTAATATTCACTGAAGAAAAATTTTCAGACAGACACTGTCCTTCAGAAACCTCATATTTGAATTAAACACGTCACATCACGATGGTAGTAATTTTGGTTGTGCCGGCTACGGTTTTCATTTGCTGTACAATTCAAACATTTTTTGCTTGTCATTTCCTGTCACAGAACATTCTAAACACTTTAAAGTGAGATGGTATGATGGAATTGAACATTGCAGTGACACCGTCGAGCCAAACATTAACGTTGAAACCAAATCACCCGTCACACCAATAGGCCCCAGCAACACGGTGAGTTATGAATAATACAACGAATGAACACGCATACTGCAAGACTGACACATGAACGGATAGACTGTGCACATTTCGCATCACTGTTTATTTAAGAGTTTAATTTACGGAACTGGATGTGAAAAAAGTCGTTTTATATTAATGAGTTATAGAATGACGTACGACATCTTGTTATTGTTAGCATCGTGAGACGGGCTAATTAATATTACCCTACTTATATCCCATTGTAAATTGCAGGCTATATAGTTATTCATGAAAAGTTATATGATGATTTAGCTTGCCGCATAGTTATTTTTGAGATGTCAACTGTAAGATAATTCCAGTCATGTATTATGTCTGAACACCTGAACAAGATTCAGATCATTATCAAGTTTGTGATTACCCGTATCTCAATTCTTAGAACTGGATAATTCAATGGGCATATACATATTCTTTTATATCCCCAGGGCGAAATCTGCACAGTGTTATAGTAATATAAAATGCTAGTTATATATATATAATTAAAAATAAATATTTGTGAATTTCACCCATAAATTGTTTTAAACGTGGTCAAAATTGTAGATTATTCGAATGACTTGAACAAAGTCAAGTATTACAGTTTAAAGGCAAGTACTTTTTTTATTAGAGACAAAAATCATCTCGAAATGAGGCTGTTTCTGACCGATGCCCTGTTTTTAGAGATTTATGAGATGTCAAGTGTCAAGTAATTACTGAACCGCCAATAATGTAAAAATTAAATATTAAATTTACGCATTTTTCTTAGTTTCAAATTTGGCAAGAGAAACACAGGAGAAGAAAGGAGCACCTTGCTACAATGTGTCAACGACATCCAGAACTCAACAACATCAGTATTCAATATGCGAATATTTTTGTCGATGATACTTATAAAATCTTGTACTGTCCAGTACCGAAGGTTGCCAACTCTAACTGGCGAAGAGTGCTGCTTGTACTGCGGGGAACTTTTACAAATGTGACAGAAATTGGTAAAGGTCGTGTATATGAATTCGAATACCCTGCCCTGAATAATTTCACAAAAACAGAAAAGCAACTGCGCTTGAGCACGTATACTAAATTCATGTTTTCTAGACACCCATTGTCCAGACTGCTTTCAGCGTATAGTGACAAATTAAGAGACACAACAAAAAGAGGGTTTTTGAGAAGTTACACTGTTCGGATAAATGAGGCGAATAAAACAAATTACACAATTGGTGGATTTTGCTTTGAGGAATTTGTTAACTATGTATTGCAGACTGAGTCTAACAGATTTGATAGGCACTGGGCTTTGATGGGCCGACTCTGCGCTCCTTGTGCAATGAATTATGACTTCTTAGGACAATATGAAACGTTAAACGAAGACGTTAATGGTATATTAAAAACAATCAATGCCAGTGAAGTTGTAGACTTTTCTTCGTATGTTCCACATAAAACAAATAGCTCGTCCGTTGACATTCTAAAAGAGAACTACGGTCATATTACAAAACAGCAAATAGAAGGACTGTATAAAAAATACGAAATGGATTTTCGTTTATTTGATTATAACACCGTGGAGTACCTTAAAATGTCAAAATCGTAATAAAACAAGAACTCTTTTTGAAACTATGAGTGAATATTGTTAATAATTGACTCAATGTGTGCCTATCATTTTATATGAAAGCATTAAATACGTGTGTAAACTCAACAATGAACATAATTTACTTCATTGTGCATAAGTATGTATGTATGTAAACGTATCGTCTATTAAACATTAATATGTACAGTAACACACAATTTGTTTAGCTTGACTACTTACACAGCACATAATAGCAAGGCAACGAAGTCCAGATAAGACATTATTCAAATATACATAAAACAAGCATTATAGCAATTTCTGAGTAATTTTCTTTAAATAACAGGAAGCTAGTCATGAGCTTTAATAATTGGGAAAGCGTACTTGACTCAATTTCCCGATTTCCAGCTACACCATTATCCAATTTGGACGCTTTGTTGATTGTTTCGATTATCTAAACGTTGCTATTGCGTTGATGATCCCCAATCTACATTGATAACAGCGCCCGTTATTTCATCAGCAGATGTGGAACAGAGGAATGCGGCGACCTCGCCAATTTGATAAATAGAACGTGAAACTGTGTACACTAACTGATATACAGCATTGGTGCCAATATAACATTGGATTATCTGAATATTAATAAAACGTCATCTGCTGAATAATATTCATAAATAATATTGCACTGAGTGTGGTACAATGTATTTTGCAAACATTGTATAGGTCGTATGGGACCCCCAATTGTAAGGTAACATTTACTTTTGAGTATTATCAGTTTTGTATATATTTAATGCACGACAGAGTATTACTAATGTTAATAAATAAAAAGGCTCCACGTACACTCTATGGCATGGCTAGGAATGGTACCAGATCACGTAAGAGTGAAAGCTTGACAGGGTTACATTATATATATACGGTGATAGAGGAATTAATACACAACTACATGAATATTGAAACTCGACAGCACTGTTTCGTAAGGTACAAGTACCTCACTCATCAAGAGCTTTATGTTTATTAATTCACTGCACCAAAGAGCATACATTATAAGCTTCGCAAATTAATATATTAATTAAAATTAAATAGAAAGTTTAATTGCTACATATTAGAGCTTTTGATCTGTGTCGGCATGATGACACGAGTTCATTTCTTTTGTTTAGTGTGGAGTGGTGGGGTCTAAAAATTATGATAAATTTTTCCTCCAAACATAGAATGCATCGTTTGCTGGAGCTGTTATACGGGCTACCGCGAGCAAGAATTTTCCATTGGATTTTATATTCAATATCATTTTCTTTTAGTGACCAGACGTGTTTGCTTAGTTCTATCGCATTTCTGGAGGCTTGATTGCGAAATGAGGCCGTATGGTTTCTGTACCTGGTTTTGAATTCATTACTAGTAAGTCCGACGTACGTTTCGCTGGTATTCGACGCCAGACTGCAAACACTTCCCGCCTAGTGGACATGTTTTTTTTTCTTCTGGCAATGGCATAATTTGGTGGCTTTCGTTTCGTCAGTCGTAGGGTTATTTTTGGTCGCGAGTTGGTGTTTGTTTTTCTTGTTGATGGTATCTTTGATGTTGTTCATGCAGCTATAGCTGACTTTGATTGTATTTCTGTTAAATATTTTCTTGAGATTATTCCAGGTAGGAAAGCACTTGTCGATTAGATCCAGGAATCGCTTTCCGATGCTGTTGCGGACGTTGCAGCTGTATGGTGGGTTGAACCAAAGGACGTTGCTACGCGGTCGTTTTTTTTACCCTTCTCCGTGGGGGGGGGGGGGGGCTCAAACTTTAATTGGGTGTTTGTAGCCGCTTTCTCGTAAGAGCTCTTTGGTAGGATGGTGCCGCGATGTCAAACATCTTCTTATCTGACGATATTGCAGAAAGACGCTTGTTAATCTCGGTCGGGATATTCTTTGTGATGGCGGGTGGGTGATTAATCTCCTTGTGTACATATACCAAGTTGGTTAGGCTTTATGAAGGGACTGTACGAATTTTCAATGAGGTTTTCCGTGACATCAAGTAAGTTTACGATTTTCTTGTTTGCTTCGATCGTAATCTTTAGAGCGTTGTTTTTAAACACGCGACAGATAGCTTTTTTGATTTTTTCAGTCTCTTTGGGTGAGGCGTCTAAGGCGACTAAGCCATCATCTCGGTATAGACCGATGTGAACTTTCTTTTTTAACTGTGCTTTGAGCTGTGAAAGCAGGAAGCAGTTCTCTGTGCCGTCGAAACTTCCTATTGTGACATCAAACGTGTTGGAACCCCTCTTTTGCCACGGCGATTGATTGTGGATCAACAATGTTTGTTTGGCGTGAGTGATGATGTTTATGTCCTCGTCATATATATATTTATATGTCGTATACTGCATTTGTCGCCTACCTGTATTCCTGATTCGTCTGGTGATGCTTTGAAAATTCCTCGGAGCCTGAAAACGTGTAAAGAACCCTATCATTGAATCTAGGCGCAATATGAAAGCTGGTGGATCAGCATTTTGTAATGAAATAGTGCAGTTAAAGCTGCTTAGTGATTTATCAGGTGTTTAATTGCTTGTACGTTTCACTACAACAGGAAGTATAGCAGGATCCCTGTGCCAGATGTTTCTAAGACCACGGTCTGTACAACCAATATCAAACACAAGCATTTGATAATATGGCTCCTGAACAGCATTTATTATTTGAATCAGTAACACAAAACAAAATAAATCAGTCAATTATTTATTGTAATGTTCCATATATATATATATAAAGTTTTTGGTTAGATTCAGCTGGTTCTAAAAAAACATACTGATTTTTAACGTGTCAATAGTCGGTCGTTCTTAAGGTAGAGATGCAGTTTATTTGTGAATTTCAATCAAAAATATTTTTTTTCGTTTTTTATATAGATTTTTATCTAAAGAACATTCTGTGAAAATTTGACCAATGAATTCTTATTGGAACACCGTTAAAATTGCTGCTTATTTTCTGGTTAAAAATAAAAAACACTCACACGTGGCAATGTTTATGTCCAATTGCCTAATTTGCATGAGTAACCAAATAACAGGACCTTTGATTGACAATATGCAAATCGAGATTGTACGGGTCATAGTTCATTCAATTCACGTATCATTCAGGAATGATTGAAATGTCCGAAAATGACGCCAAAATACACCTTAAAAGTCCTATTTTTTTTCTAAATCCCATCCCGAATTTACGGCAGAATCTGGTCCCTCAAATAAGGGACACGTGAGCTTTGATTCTAACCGGATATATTGCACTGGGTCGGGGAGATACAAACTTTCGTGTATCTT